AAGTAATGAAAAAAATGTAACTGCTGTTTCTTTCCAGCTACATGTGTGTAACAATGGTAGTGAAACAGATGAATAAGTTATGATCTTGCTTACCTGTTTCTCCCAAATATTTCTATTCCCTTCAAATAGAGTTCTTTCTCAATAGGTTTCATTCAGACGATGACTGCGTGCATTCTGGCATTTCTGGTGTGTTTTCATCTGATTCATTACGAACATTCCCAGCAGTCATTCGAACTTTACTTTCTTTGGGGGTTCCACTAGCTAGGTGCCTCTTCTTGACACTGGAACTGGAAATTTGATCCATGCTTGATATAGCAGTATTAGACATCAAATTTACATCCAAAGCTATCAATGTCTTCTGTTTCTTGCTCGAAGAATCCTGGAGACTGTTAGAACTGTCTTTTGAGTAATCTTGCGCTATAGTTTTATCTTCTAAGGCTCTGCGCTTTCCCAAATCTTGATGGTTCTTCTTTTCCATGATGGATGAATTTGTATTTACAGCTTCAGCAGAAACTCTTGGGCTTGGAACAGCTTCCAGAATTAAAGACATTTCTTTCTCAGAAATACATCTTTCAGGTGAAATGATCTCTACACCATCGCTCAGATGTGGCTCTTCCACATTAGAAAATGTTGCACTACTGGTATTCTCCTCTAAGTTTGCACACTTTACTCTACGTAGGGTGCTAATACTCGAAAATCCTGGCATGTCTTTGACATATCTTAACTGTTAACAATTTATATGGAAATCAGACTTCAGATTTGCCATATGAATACCGCACAATATTGGTTGTGCTTATAGAAGAAACTTTGCTTTTTGCTGATAGATGTCTAGTGGTCATCTAGCTATGTCCTCAAGTCATTTAACTAACCAACACATTCTTATAGGTCCAAACACTAGTTAAAAATCAAAGCAAAAGAGACTGGTATGACATTTATAGCCTAGATGAGGCACGTATATAAAAACAATGTCATCTTGGTGGACAGGAACCTGATTGAGTTGAGGCAAAGGGAAATACAGTGCCCATATGCGTAGCATACAAGACAGACACAAATGAAGACACATGCAGAGAGAGAGAGAGAGAGAGAGAGAGAGAGAGAGAGAGAGAGAGAGAGCGAGATAGATACTTGAAGGTAACACTGATCACTGCATGGGTTCCGGTCATCTTCATACTCAGACCAGTATGGCTGCTTTTCCTCTGACAAGCAAAGGCCTCGAATTAGGTGAATTACTAAACCTTCAATTAGATGGAAGTAGAAAAAGAAATAATACTGCTTACAGGATTGATTAAAGTTTGAGAACAGCCATGCAGACGACAATCAAATACCTGCTAGACAGAGACAGGGAGGATGACCATGGATAGTGTACTAATTCAAATGATTATGTCAACCATTGTCAGACACCACTTACCAAGCAACGACGACAAAATAGGTTATCAAAAGAATCTAGAGCAGCACCAAGGCTCTTGTCTAGAGATATACCCCGTTCAGATCCAGAATCCTCACAATCTCTGAAATCTTTATCATACTTCTCTTTGAGCCTCTTGTACCGGTCCTGCGGCAGATCCCCCAACACAAGTTCAACTCCCATCAACAATGAGATGTGTCAAACAGAAATAACAGCTTAGGAGAAAGTAAAACTGGTGAAATAATAAAAAACGGCAAAGAGGGAATCAAAATGCCAAGTGCCTTCCAGTAACTAAGGTCTTGTTAATATGTAATATGCAAAATAACTGTACCTGAATGTCAGAAGTTTTTACACCAATGAATTGGCTGACAATGTTCAGTACTTCCTCATCTAGCTCATTCTCCTGAAAGACCATCCTAGAAAATTCAAAAGAGAAAAGAAATGCATGAATTATCGCTAATCACAGTTTGATAAAGATAACAGTAGGTCAACTTTAAAATAAAAGAATAGACATCTGCTGCAGCTAGAAAATGCCTCTTTTACTCTAAATATACAGAGAAGAATTTGTATCTATACCTCAAACTTATTAAATTTTAAGTAATTGTGCAACTACGAACAAAGGAAAGTAAATTAGGAAAAAAAAAACTGGGATGAGATTTTCAGCCTTGTAGCATCCTTCTATATCATTTCTCAGTTTGATTTTTCTTTATCCTTGATATTTCCCTCAACAGAATGAGTTTCCATTCTCAATGAATTGCTAACACCTTCGCTTCTCATTTGAATATTGGTTGATATTAATGGAAGACAATGTGAGTCTTTGAACATGAGTTTTCTAACCAAAATTTTCTTTATCACTAGAAATTGTAGTTTATTATGTTTCTTGAACTTACCATAAAATGCGATCTTCACCCTCGGAAAATTCATGTTTTTCTTCCTCATGTTCTAGAAGTTCCTCTTCACTGTCACTACAAACCAGCGCTTCACTGCCATGTTGGTCATAATAAATACGTCTCCTCCCAACCACAGACTGGTCTTCGGCCATTCTCTGATTTCTGTGCTGTGCAAGCATTTTTGAGATTAGAAAAGCAAAAACAAAATCTTCACAGAAACAAGATGCCATCTCCCACCCCTCACCCCACAGAAAAATAAAAGCTATTCCTTAAACATCTAAATCAAAACCTGTATAATAACATCAGCAGAATACTGAAGGTGATATTTGAATATTAAGAAAAAAAGAGAATTAAAATCAAGAAACCATCCAATCAAGGTAAAGATGAAAATAAAGCATATACACACACACACACACACACACACACATATATAAATTTCTGACATACTTGTCCAAAAATATCCATGTAGTGTATGATGGTATCATTTGGATATATGGCAGTTTGATGCTTGTTGATATAACTTCATGACTATTAGCATAATCTTTATCTCCCACCCCTTGAGCAAATCTATTGAACTTGCAGAGAGGATTTTGAATTCTTGAAGACAGCGTTTTACCAATCCCATTCTCCTCCATGGAGAAAGAACTCCGACTTGATGCTGCTGTTAGAATATGAGAAACATAAGTTTCTAGTTTCTTTCTGTTACTCTCAACTCTTTGCTGCACGTAGTATTGAAACTAGTTAGTTACAGTGTCTGGCACCATGAACCAGTTAATTGACAAAACATGCACATTTTGACAAGTAAAAAGTAATTCCAAAATTCATGGTTTAAAATTCTGGTAGAGTAAGAGAAAGTTCACAAACACAGCGCAGCAATTTCTTCATGGTTAATTAAAATCTTCACATCCTGATGCTCGATAGGTACAATTATAAAAGAGTGCATATTGTTTTGTACACCTATTAATTTTGCATGCCACCTGATCAAAGGAAATATCTTTCAACTTGTAATACTTATCTCATCCAAAAGCAGCTCTCTTTAATTAATTACAGAAAATGGCTTCTTCATAAAATTGAGCTTACAGTTATAGAATTATCATTATTCTTATATACATAATGTCCAACAATATGAATGGCTATTAAAGGTAAAAAATTGTAATTATAAGTGCCTAGATGATAACTGATACAGAAGCTCAATGTGAAGAAGAATTAAATAACAGAAATAGAAGTAGCATCCACCAATTCAAAAAAACAAAGTAAGATTCTTACTTGTATGGAAAGAACTCTCTCTGCTTGAATTTGCCGTTTAAGGTGATTTAATTTATTTTGCAAGCCTCCAAAACCATCAGCAGAGTGTTCCCCATGGGATTTCTACTCAATTGCCAATATAAAAGAAAATCAACATCTAAAACTGAAAATCTAAACCGGTTTAATTAGCGAAAATGACTAGATATGGAACTTTTTTCCATGATCGAGCAATGAAATGTAAGAACTAGAGTACACGACACCATTTTCTCTTGAAAAAATTTTGAAAAAGAAAAGTTAACTCCCTAGGGCATT